ACATGAAAGAGTGCATTAGCGTGGGGGAGGGAGAGATTGATTGGGATGGAGAGATGAGGGAATGGATAAAGAGAGGTGGAGGTGAGAGAGGGCAGGGTGGAGCAGGGGAAAACACTTTCTTCTCTTTTTTAATCATCACACTCTTGTATTCAGCATTGTAGCTACAGTTACACCTGCCTCCTCCACCTCTTCCTCTTCTGATCTATTTATGGGAAATTTCTGAGGTTTCGTTTCTATCAATATTACTTACGTTGCACTCACTGAATGATTTGATGAGATGTAGAATGTAGCTATGCAGCTACCCCAAAGTCAGACAAGAAACCCCCAAGTAGCCTTGTTGATCTATTCCCAAAGTATCCACTGTAAATCTCATTCACAGTTTGCAGACGCAATTTGCGGTCAACCCTGTCTCCTAAAATTATGTTTATAAACATCTCATACATCTGTTTTACACATTGTAATTGAAACAACTCTGGTTTTGGTGGATATATAACAACTGATTCTGGGTAAAGGTGATTCGCTGCAGGGGCGGATCCAGGAGCAGGGCTGGGGAGGGCACCAGCCCCAGCTTAAATGTGATTGGTCCCTAAAGTGCTTCTGTCCTGTCAGCTGTCATTTTCTTATTTACTACCAATGAATGTGACAATCTTTTTGAAATCCTCCTACGCCTTTTTATATTACACAATTTGCTTGACCGAGGAACAAAATACTATTCATGGTGTGTGGCTTTGCTCAAAGTTATAGAGCTAACAATTAACAAGGAATATGCACCTTACTGAATCAGGAATTGTGCATGGATGTTGGACATAAAATCTGCCGCACTGAGTAAAATGTGGCCCCTTTATGGCCCCTGATTTAGAAAAATCTTAGATCGATGACGTCCCTACAAAAGGAGTGAAGCTGTACTAAAAGAAAACTGATTGCCAGTGAACATAATCTGAGGCCTTTCCTCCAGAATGTAATTCTTAGCAGGATTGTTGTAGTTCAACATTGACATGTTGTTTAATGAAGGATTCTTGTATCACCACCATTTTCACTGTGCTTAGATTTGGTCTTTCTATGAAAGTGGTTTAATAATCAGGCTGAACCACTCATTTGGGTTGTATAACTTTATCCAAGGTCTCAGCTTTAACATGGATGAGCAAAATGAATCCTAACCGTCCAAGGCAAGATGTAGTAAAACTCATTAGCATGAATGAATTGTACACATTTTTGTAGAATATCTATTCAAGTCAGTGTATACCTGGAGGGTCAGGATACATTTTGTTATCTGCCCTTTATGAATATATATAAACTGTATAATTGAAACACAACAGAGGCAGATAATGGAAGAGGGGGGTAAAGGGGGTAAATAAATAAGACACTATCCAGTGATTTACACATACAAGGTCATCGCTGTTTTCAATATCATCTTCTTTTCTCTGACTGAAGTAAATCCATCCTTCACTTCACTGCAGCTACAGTTTCTAACAGGTGTCCTTAGGGGGCGCTGTGAGTCAGGGCTTTGGGACTCATCTGCAGAGTCCAGCTCTTCCTATCTCCTTCATTGACATTTAATGATAATTATAACTTGGGTCACACCAGGGGCAGATGCACGCACACACACACACAGACACACACACTGCCTGGTTAAAAACATGAAGACATTAGAGGTAACCTGATGCTGAGTGAGTATTGATCTACTCTCAGGGGGCTTAGCGAGTGAGAGAACACCAGACAGCACTTTATCACAGCACCTGACCATCGAGGCTGTGTGTGTGCGTGTGTGTGTGTGTGTGTGTGTGTGTGTGTGTGTGNGTGTGTGTGTGTGTGTGTGTGTGTGTGTGTGTGTGTGTGTGTGTGTGTGTGTGTGTGTGTGTGTGTGTGTGTGTAAAGGAAGAGGGAGCTCTAACTGCTTTGTTATGTGTAGATATTTTGTCAAAAACAAAAACTAGCCTTATGTGTAAAACCAGTCCTTCAAGTCCAGCTTAATTTTCCAAATTTTTAACCGTGTGCGTTTCATTCATTTCTAAGAAACATTTTTCTTAGAAATGCACGTCTTGTCTTTCCTCCATCCTTCCTTCATCATTTCTCCCAACATCCCTGCATCCTCCTGTGAGGTCCTGACTGACACGTCCAATCTGCATCTATAACTTTATAAAGACCAGACTGAGTGGTAATCAGGCCTCTGTGTGTGTGTGTGTGTGTGTGTGTGTGTGTGTGTGTGTGTGTGTGTGTGTGTGTGTGTGTGTGTGTGTGCGCGTGCGTGCGTGTGCATGTGTGTGTAAGTAAGAGAGAGAGAGAGAGAGAGGAGGAGAGAGAGAGGGAGGGAGAGACCAGGAGGGATTTCTTGATTATGATTGCTGAGGACACGTGTTCCTCAAATTCTTCAATGATTGCCTCCAAACGAAACATAAATGCCAAACAAAATAATAAAGAGAGAGAATGAGAAAGAGAGGATGAGGGAGAGAGAGGGAGAGAGAGATGACAGCATCATAGCCATGGAGTCCTGTTTCTTGAAGATATCCAGACCTCAATAACACGAGCAAAAACTGACCAAAGGGACCAGAAAACAAGGAGCAGATGGAAAAACAACCACATTAAAGTGCACGTGTGTGTGTGTGTTTAAGTGTGTGCTCTCTTGTATCTATACATTACACTGTATACACTGATTTGGCCAAAAATTACAGCAGCCTCGTATACAATCTATGATGCTCATTATTCATTCACAATAATGTGTGCCACTGGTGTTTTTCCCCTCAATCCTCAGACATATCAATCCAGTCCTACACATTTGCCAATTACTCCTCAACACACGCACACGCACACGCACACACACACACACTACAAACTGACACACACATCTTCTCCTCAGAAGCTGAGCCAAGTCATAGGTGCTGGACAGAGTAAACGTATTTCTTCTCTCTCAAACCTTCAGGCGATTGGCACATCTCCCCCTTCCTTCTGTTTGTGTCTTGTTTTCTGTCATTTCTAACTTGATATCGTTCTACTGTTCTGGCTCCAGTTCAGAACCATGTTGTCATTCTCCTCTGCTTTTGATCTCTCTCGTCATGATTCAATCTGTCCCCTTCTTCATGTGGTACACGTATGATTTATGAGTTTCACGCTCACACACACACACAAACACACAATGCCCCAATGTACAAGATATATACACACACTTGGCTTTTGGTACGACTTTTAGTTCATTGAAGTAAAATAATCCATGTTCCACGTGATTGATTATCTTTGTAATGTTTTGGGACAAAACTAATTTCCCACATGGCAACAAAAACAACACTCAGCGCTTTGAAATTCCTCAGAAATATTGTGTTTATTTCAGCCGATTGGTAGAAAATGGCACTTAAGAGAAGTAAAAATAACATCTGACGTATTCACCTCAGTGGCTCTCTGGTGCTCTGTGGTCAACATGGCATGATGGATCATTCAAAGGGGATTGGGTTGGATACACTGGTGTGCTGTCATTCCTTTCAGATAAAGCAACAGTTTAAACAGGAAAGAATGATGATATGCAGGCAGAGGGGTAAATAAATAAAACAGGGGAAAATGTTTTATTCTACAACTTGACTTCTAGCAGGTTGTTTCTCAGTTGAACTCATGGAACCCATTCAAGATGTCTAATTATAAGAATGTATATGTCAAGCAGCCAAATTCACCCAAATGCTCTAGAATTAAATTCTGGGTAAAGTTATGAAAAAAAGACAAACTCTAAATGTCAAATTGGAAAAATTCACTTTACCTAATTAAATTAATGGGAGAGTAATCATTCAAAGTGACACCTCTTCTCCTCCAGCTTTCTCGTAAAACAGGCTTATGAAGTTTGAAATTTATCTTGGGTAATCTGGGGGAGAAAAAAAATCCCCTAAAGACCATTTGAGCAGATGTTGTGTCAGTCAAGCCCTGATCTCCAACCTTCATTAGCCCTGAGAAAACTGGCCTGAGAAACACTCATCATGTAAAACATGCAGAGGCATACATATTGAATGAGAGGCCGTATGAGGGCCTGCGCATGTTCCCTCTATTTCCTCTTCTCCTTCAGTGTTTTCTTCTCTCTACCCTTTTTCTCTTTTAATTTGGCCCCTCTGTTTGTTTTCCTTCATTCTTTCATTAGTAGAAAAAACATAGCAGGCATTCCAGCTGTAATACCACCGAGATTCAGTATCAGTGTGGAGATTCGCGCACACACACACACACACACACACTGCAAGAGAGAGAGAGCGAGCGAGCTAGAGAGAGAGATGGCAGTGCACTAGAGACATTAGGTATTGCCTCATAATGATTCATCATTATACTATTTGTCCATGCAGGCAGACATGTCAGCCACACTGAGGCATTATGGGAATAGTGGAGATAGGCATTAACACAGGCTCAGAGCTGCATATTGTTTATTTGTTTGTTACCAAAGTAAATGAGACATGTACATGATATAAGTCATTGCATCAGCCTTCAGACAATAATCGATATATGAAATGAAATAAAAAATGATGCGTAAATTCACTGAGAACAGGTTAGATGTGTAAACCAAAGATTACTTCAAAAAAGCTCAAACAGATCAATATATTTAGGCATATTTTTCGTCACACAGTTGTTTAAAGTCCACCTACAGTCACTGTCATGTTCATGAAACAGGATTGAAGCGACTTCTGCTTTGTGACATGCAGCATGTTGGAAGCATAGACTGTACATTATAATAGATGTAGACTCCCTGTCCAGAAAGGTGTGTCAACACAAGTGCCTGAAATTTGGCAACTTGACTGGTTGCAATAAGTCAGTTCCTAAAGAAGTGTGAGAGATTGACTATACTTCTCATTTGATATATAGCGTCAGTAAACATTTTCATAAGGATAAACGTTTTATCCGATAAAACGGTCTCGGTTGGTTGGCTGAAAGAGCTCAACAGAAACCTGCTGCAAATAGCGAAAACGACACCGGAAATTCCATCACCACTGACCAGTAGCAGACTTTAATAACGTCACAAATCAAATGCCCTTCTGTATTTGCATCTGTTGTGATGTCTCAGCCACCGTACAATTGCTATTTTCATGTCCTCTTCAAGGCAGCACATTTCATTTTGTAAATTATGGTCACATTTAGAGTCAGATAGATGATAAATCAAAGTATGCATTGGAGCATGGATACTGTGTGATTGACAGTTTGTATGTGTTCTCTCGCTCCTCCAAATATGGTTACTTCAGGTCTCAGAGAACCAAAATGGTGCTGACCAAAACGCCAAACTCTAGGTTTCAAAAGGTTGGTTCACAAACGTACGTCACGATGGGTTGTCACTTGGTTGGAGGTACCCATTTGATGATGCTAAATTGTTTGTTTAGAGATGCAAGTGGTCTGTGACAAACTCTGATAGGTCGTGAATAGTATTAAAAAGCAAAGAGCATTTTTACCATCACCAGCAGCACCACTCTAGACTGACGCAAGACATTTTGGGTCCTTGGGCCCTTGTACCGAGCTATGTTATTCAGGTTTTGGCCAATCTGACCATCATTCACCTGTGACCTCTCTCATCAACAAGGTGTTTCCGTACACAGAACCGCTGGGTGGAAAATCATTGCAGGATGTTTTTAGTTTTTCACACTTTTCTGAGTAAACCTTACACGCGTGTGAAAATCCAAGGAGATTTTGGAAATACTCAAACATGCAGCCTGTCTGGCACCAACAATCACCCCACAGTCAAACTCACTGAGATCAGATTTTTTCTGATGTTTGCTGTGAACATAAACTGAAGCTTCTGATTGCAGTATATTGTGCACTGCACTGCTGCCACTTGGCTGACTGGACAACGGCATGAAAATGCAGTAGATACGTTTTATTAATACATACATTACTTTCTCATTGAGATGAATGGGAGACTGGTGGGAGCCTTTTTGGCTCTCCTGCACGTGCAATTTCTCGGAGAGAGTTTTGCATCAGCTGGGTTGTCTTTATCATCAGTGACACCTCAGCTGTAAGGATTTTCACAGTCGATCGAAAATATGGAAAAACTGTCCCTTTGAAAGTGTGTTTGATGATGTGTATCCATGTTTTCTTATCAAGGTCGAAAAATGAAAGCGTTCCTTGGTCATAATCTAGATGCACTTTGATCTTTTTGGGTAAGACATCCTTTGAATCCATGCTGTTGTGAGTGAGAAGTTCAAACAATGGTCCTCCAGGACCATAATTATAAATGCCACAGATGAGTGAAGGGGTTGCATCCCCGGCTTTAGCAGCCACACCAACAGCCCAAAAACCTTTCACCTCCACATCCCAGCTGTGTTTCCCAGAACTAAATCCTTCAAAGCCGAGAACAGCGCTACAGTGATCTCTCTCTGGGTTATTGGGAAGCTGCTGAGCCTTCTTACTTTCTGACAAATGAGTCAGATTCTCTGACAGAATCAGTTGTGTGCCACTGGTGTTTGGGTCCAGAGTTACAGGGGCTGGATGGAAACATGAAAACGTACGTTTATGGGACTGTTTTTAAGGCATTTCTTTCTCAATAATTTAAAACCTCAAAATGTGGTGAGCCAGAAACAACAATGCATTGCTTACTGTATTTGATCATATTCTTCATCTGGCACCACACTTTGAACAGCAGGTTCCCGACATGTTGGCCCTCATCGATCAGGGCTCCCGATGGAATCTCTGGCTCTTGCAGGTTGCACTTTGATCTGGAAGAAAATACGGCAGCCAGAGAATAACCAGTGAAATAATGTATTGATAGCATTTTAGTTTGGAGCAATGTACTCATGAAACAACAACAAAAAACGTAAGCAAGGAATAAATATATGGATAATTTAGCTTATGAAAAAGCTCAAACTTGGATTAATTTTCCCATCATGCATCAGTTCTTCTATTTATTTCTTGGAATGGACAAGACTTTAACCGTGTGACATCATGTACGAGAGCGACCTTTTTGCACATGCACCTGGCTACCGACATAGCTCGGATCCACCCAACCCCAAAATCTAACATTTCATGGAAAATCTGTTCAGTAGTTTAAAATAGGCAAAGAATCCACTTACCGCTCCATAGTGGACTTGACATTCTGTCAAAAAGTAAAAAAGACAACATAAATTACCCCAATTTGTTCCATGTTTAATATCAAAATCAGAAGAGACAAGTGATCACTAAGTACCAGCATGAATGAGAGGTCCTCAGCTTTCAGCTCCCGATTTATAGTTTCGATCCTGTCTGCGAGCGAAGAGATCTCTTCCTTCACATTAACAATCTTGATGTTCAGTGTGTCACTTTTAAGCGCCACCTCCTTCCTCAGTGCATCTATCCTGGCAGCCTCCTGCGTCCTCAGAAACTGGTAAAGCTTCTGAAATTTCTCTTTGATTGTTGCCTCTGTCTGCCGAGCCTGGAGCTGAGAAAAAAAAACATATGTTGTCTCTATGACCTAGAGTCCGACCAATATGGATTCATGGGGGCAGATGTTTGTGCATGTGAATGTGCTGATTTTCCGATATTACTATGAAAAAGAAATGTAATTGAGGCTTGATATTTTACAGTTAAACCAAAATACTATAAATAAAAAGAAAACACAAATACAACTGATTTTTATTCTTAAAATAAAAGTTTTCGAATCAGCATAAACACTGATACCGATGTAAGGGACATATCAGCAGTCAGGCTTGTTTATGAACACTATGGTACTTTGTATGGTACTTTGTACCTTACCTTGATGTGGCTGGCCATTTTATTACAGTTGAGCTTATGTACTTTCAATGATCCCAGCTTGGATTTTAAATGCATCCGCTGAATTCTGAGATTGGTCTAAAAACAAAAGTGGAACATGTTACTTTACATCAGTGGCTCAGGTAGACAACACTTTTATTTGCTGCGTCAGGTAAGTCACATTGTCGATCACAGCAACAAAGTGTTCACGACAACGTCAAAGATAACTGATTCTCCACTTCGGGTTCTGAGTACTGAAGCAGCAGCGGTGGCTTCAGCGTTCTGTGGACTGAGACCTGAAGCAGTATAATTACTGCAGGTCACTTTCACAGAAAAGCCATTTTCGAAATGAACTCCTAGATATTTGGTCTTTTACAGTTTTGCTTCAGTCAAGTGTTAGAAATGTCTACATCAATCCTTCGGAGGATCTCCTGCTGTTTTGGCTCATTCGGACATTGTTCAGTGTTTTTCTTCAGAGTTGCGCTCTCACACACAATCCCTCTGGATAATGTCAGGAGATTATCCGGAGTCCAGTGCATGTCTGAAAGGAGGCCATTCCACACAGGGATGTTTAGAATGAGCACTACACTAGTTTAGACCAATCATAGAGGTAGATTAATTGAATCTCTGTGCTAGCATATACATGCACAACATGTTAGACTTTTGTTATATTGCCATTGATGATAATTATATTGGGATGGTTATTGATATTGTTTTATTTCCCCGCCCTATAGGAAGAATAATTTGAAAATGTTTTAAATTTCACAACAACTTTTAAAACAACAAATCAAACAACACACAGCGGTGCTCACCCTGTGCTCCTCTGCTGCTTCATTGATGGGGGAGAAGTTGTGCTTCTTGTGTTTTTGTGCATCTCTACAAACCAGACAGATGAGCTGCTGATCGTCCCGACAGAACAGCTTGAGTTTCTCCTTGTGCAGGTCGCACAGATCCTGGGCTCCTGACGCTGCTCTCGCACTCACCTCCTGCCTCAGGTTGTCTGACAGGTCCTTCAGCGCCAAATTACGCGCGGGCCGAGCCATCGGGAAGATCTCCATGCAGAGCGGACACGTGTGCACTTTGCTCTGTCTCCACCACTCCTGCAGACAGAGCTTACAGAAGCTGTGTCCACACAGCAGGACCACAGGGTCTTGGAATATGTCACAGCACACGGGGCAGGTGCAAACCACCTCAGACTGTGATACATTAGCAGCCATGTTACTCTGTCTGTCTCTTCCTGCTCTTTCCTGAAGCGCACTCTCAGTCACTGAGTCACGTCAACTAGTTCAGCCAGTGCTCATATTAAGTCGCTTTTTGCATCAAGTAATATCAAAAATCTCCCCTGAACTCTAAACTTTACATAAAACCTACACACACGCGCGCTAAAGTCCTGGATTTCTTCAGAAAGCGAGAGAAGCTTCAAGACGCTGACTTCCTGTTTCTTCTTCCTGTTTCACTGTAAAGAGGGAGGAGCGATCACTGTTGAGACAAACAGCTTCAAACTATCAGTCAAGTATGGAAGATTGTTGGTGCCACACATTAAAGAAATGAGAGGAAGATTCTGTTTTCCATGAGTGTTTTGAGAATGTATCAGGGCCACTGCAAAGTAAAATAAATAGAGAGACATAGAGAATAAAGTTGTATTTTAGAAAAATAACAGCATCATTTGTAATAATTACAAAAAAGTTGTGTTTATATAAGAATAAAATTATAATTTAAGTTATAATTAAGTTGATGAAAATTGTAATTTTACAAAAATGAAGTCAAAAGTTGTAATGATGACAAAAAAGTTGTATTTTTAAAAGAATAGAATTGTCATTTTACAAGAATAACATAGGTATCAGAATATCAGCCACTCACCTGTTTTAAAATACAGAATGTGAAGCAGTTTATTAAGTTAAAATTTAGGTTTCACAAATAACAGACAACTTAATAGTTGGCTGATCAGCACCAGATTTTCATAACTATCAGGACTTTGAAAATGTTGTGCAAGAAACTTTAGTAATGTGGTGAGAACTATATCATTGTAACTGCTATAATACTCATCATATGTACATATAAATAATTGTCCATGTACTTGTCTTTGTTATGAATGAATGCCACCAGAATAACATTATATAGGAAGGGGTTTTAACTGGACTATAAGAAGAAAAACATACATGCACAATAGATCTATGCAATTATTGTAGTTTGAAATTTTTGAATAAAATACAATTGGTTGAGTCTAATTTCAGTATATTTGTGTTCTCCTCCTGTCCACTCTCTCTCCCTCTCTCTTTCTCTCTCCCCCTTTTCTCTCTCTCTCACTCTCTAGCACATGTGCACACAAGCTCCGTGCATAAGATTCTCAGCAGTGAAAATCACAAGCGATTTGCCCCCTGACCGCTGCAGCAATAGCTATCAAAGGCTAACTGTTTTAACATGACAGCACACATGTGGCCCGCTCTCTCTCTCTCTCTCTCTCTCTCTCTCTCTCTCTCTCTCTCTCTCTCTTTTCTAAACTACACTTAGCTTATCTGTAAAATCTGGATCAACTGTTTCTCCAGTTTCATGCCACATATTTTGTATATAACACAGATTAGGAAACAACTGTTGGCTGAATAAATACTAATAAATCCACTTGTGGACATGATATTTACCTTGAGAGAGAACAACATTTTGCACATTTGCAGCTTATATTTTTCTCCAAAGTTGTATTTTTTTAGACTCGTGGTCTTGAAGTAAATTTAAAACTTTAAAATATTAAAGTGGTTTTCGGCCAAATGCTTTAACTACATGTTGCCAAACTTCTGCCTCAGTCATTTTTGCTTCAGTTTGGTTTGATATGATTTGTCACTGTATGAAAACCTCCACCGTCAGTATAGAGGTCAGTGATCAGCCCATCCATATTTCTCACAGAGGAAACAGTGAATAGTGTGCGCTCGGTTACATAACCTCGCGATAATGTCTCTCACACGGCCATATGCCCTTTTCCCACTGCCTCTCTTCGGCTGGTGTAATTATTAGGCCTGAGGATAGTGGCGCGGGGGTGGATTCTTGCGAGACTGTTCCTATACTTAATATTATGTCTATAACCATAAAACATTCAATCCACATAAAGCCAAGTGTTCTGGATCTGGCCACAGTAGCTTCCCAAGGGTGGCGCAGTAAAAACCGCCCCGAGCTGCCATTAGGTGGAGGGAGCTGGAAGAAATACTGGACAGAGGCTGGGACCAAGAGCACAGCTGATGGTAAACTAATTTTGTTACCCCCCTCCTCACACACACACACAGTGCATGTTGCATTCATACACACGGCATACACATTTATTTGGCACACACACCCTGTATTGTATTATACTCTCTCTTAGGACTCTCGATGTGGGACAAAATCGCACACGCTCTCTCTCTTTCTCTGTCTCTCTCGCTCTTTCCATCTTTCCCCCTCCACCACTCTCAAACACACTTTTGATCACCATCTCGCCGAGTTAGACATATGCTCCATCATTTGCCTTGAGGGATAAAAGACTGGGAAGGAATTCAGCGAGACGCTGCAGCACTGCTCAGCAGACTCTTGGAGAGAAGTGCTGTATTTGTGTGTATTAACAGTATTCACCCACGCAGCTTTCCTGTCTGTGTAATACTATACATGTCTAAATCTGGACTTGATATTCAATGTACAGTATTTCGAATGGGGAGAAGAAGACATTAGTCATGTCCTTTATGTAATATATAGTTCCAATTATGACTGGAGCTGCATGTTAATACCAGCAATCATTCTGTGAGGGCATATGTCAAAATGTAAATATTATACATCTTCATTTCAGTTTGAAACTGTTTTTCCTGCCTTATGTGGGTTAAAAGCACCTGAGACAACCTGCTGCTGTGATGCAAATTGAAAATGAATTGTTTACAGGAGGCCTGACACACAACTAAACTTTTGCAGAAAGAGCTGAATTGATATCTTTTTTTGTTTTACTGTGCAAAGAGTGTCTCTGTTGGTGCCTGGACGCTCGTAAAGAGTGGGTGAAAAATAAAACAAGATGTAGACCAAGCGTAAGCTTCATGGCCGAACATTACAGGAATTTACGATGTGTTAAATGTTTCCTTTGTTCCTCCCCGTGACAGCTCGCTCCGGCAATTATGGAAGGCAACGACCCGCGATGAGCTTGTTACATCCCTTGACCCCTTGTTCTATTCCTCACACTCTTCTAACATCATTTTTGAGTGAAAGTAGATGATTGATTGATTGACAACTCCTGCAATAAGTCATTATGTACGTCCAGCCAATCTGCACCATTTTTTCATGTTCATAAAGAATAATGCTTTCACTTGCATCTTTGTCACATTGTCAGAAATATTAAACCAGCATGCATTCGTCCCACCACCATCTTTATATTAATTCAATATTGCGTCTGTTTTTCTTTCAATATCTTGGTCAAATCTGAAACCGCACTGTGGCACTTTGCCAGAGTCTAAAATGCCAGCAGTTTTTTTCCCCTGTGTACTCGGCCCCCTGAAATAAACCCCATGCACCATTCCATTTAGAAAACCAATTTAGGATGGAGGGTGGGGGCAGGAAAGGGAGATGTATAGGTTAGCTGTAGTAATAATCATAAATCACCTCTGAAATGCTGCCATGTCACATGCCAGACTGTGCCACTAATGACCAGCCCCATCTTTCACCGGGTATTTTTATCTGTGTGCCCTGACACTCGACTTCTGGAAGCGTCCTCTCGTTTTACTTCGTCAGCACCTCAGCCCGGCCTGAGCACAAGTTCTTCGCATATCTATAAATACCAGCCAGCTAAATGGCATTTTCTCTCACCCACCCCCAGCTTGGCAAGAACCAGGAGCTCTGTGACTTGGCAAAGGGTCCCGCAGTCCTCCACCACTAAACATCTTGGGGCTAAGCCCCCCACCCACCCAAGCTTCACCCTCCGGAGAACAGCTGGACAAAAAAATAGATCCATCTGCCACTGTCTTCAAATTCCAAAGTGGTTTCAGTCTAATAAGTAGAAACTGGTTTTCACGAGGTCTAGTAAGAAGTAATAAACATTAATGCATGGATCTGTTAAAACAACATGCAGAGTCGTTATAATAAATGTAGTTAATGTATCAACATACAACATAACATGTCAATTCGTATATATATGCACAGACACACATGCACACGCCAGAAACACACACACCTGTACGTGCTTCCTTTGTGCAGAATGTTCTGCCAAGTTTTTTAAGCTTGCTGACATGTGGCACTAGAGACTGCAGGTCAGCGACAGCTTCCTGCTATTTTGGGCTCTGTCGGAGCTTGAGGTTTTAATTTATTCTGCCAGAATGTGTCGATCACTGAGCAGGGTTCAGGCCTGAGTCTGCTGCGGGGAAGGAGGAGGAGGAGGAGGAGGAGGGGGCAGGCACCAGGGGTTAGGCCTTACTTTTACTGAAGGATTAAACTGATATTAATATCATATCATTCCAACCCTTACTCACCATGCCCGCACTCAACACAAACACATGCACAAAATGGCAAAAACATTATACGTCATGAATTTTTTGGTTTACTGTAGACATTCACAAGCAAGAAATAACTTATTTTAAATGAGGTGGGAAGCCAGAGAGGGATCTTGTGCTTAACACTGTTCTTGCGCCACCTACTATTTGGATGGGGCACCTGTGGTGCGAGATGTATTCTGTGTTATGTTTTCCTAGGGAAGCTCATCAATGTAATTGCAGGAGAAAAGAAATGGCTGAGGTATCCGGTGTCTGCAGCCCTAAAAACAGACTAACGGCACAGGGAGATATACTGTACATACTATAAAACACTATACGACCATAATTCTCCTTCTTTTAGCATCAGGCAACTGTTTGCCATTTAGGCGCCTCCCCAGAGTCAACATGGCATAGTGTGACTGCAGCACTTTTCCTGTACAATTACCAGAGGAAACTTGGAGAGCGCACACCTCCGCCAATGCTAATGCCCTATCTCCTCATATTAAAGACAGCGAAAAGAAAACTCTTAAGTAGTTCTTGTTACACTGAAGTATGTCCATGGTTTTAATAGGTGTGGTTGTGATGTGTTATTTGATCCTTTTAAAACATCACAATTGACAGCTGACATTGACATCACTATACCGTGGCTCCATCCCCTAATCGCTACAGCGCAGAATCTAGCTCCTAATGTACAAGATGGCTTGTAGTGGGAGAAGGTGGAGACACGTGATCCATCTTAATATACAGTTTATGGTAAGAGTGGTAAATTGCATTGGAAAATAGATACCGTGATTTTTATAAAAGAAGTTGTTCATCTTGAGGTTAATCATCATAGATTAACAGTCACCTGGATTTCATGGATTCCTGAACATTGTCCTACCCATTGTCAAGAGAAACGCACTTCCAATGGGGCCCTGGTCACTGCACCCCTTCGTGAAACATTGCACTCAAATGCGAGGGACCTCTGTTCCTTTTCTCGTTTCCACCAGACAGTCAATACTTCTCTTTTTTAAAGCGTGACCACAATAAAT